TGAACAGACATTGCATGTGTCCCAGGAGAAAGTCTTTTGTCTGTTGTACAACAAATGTTATCTATTATCCTGCTTCAAGTCCCTCTGAAGCATGCCAGATAAAATGCACTAAGGCTTTTCCCCAGTATAGCCCATTATACTTCTGTTACTGTGGTTCATTCCAGTGACAAACTTGTCAGGCCCTTTACTCTAGCTGGCCATTTACTGGTAAAGAAGTAGTAATGTAGCTTGGAACAGCCTCCATGCAGATGGAGCCCTTGACTCCAGGCTGTGGAGGCTGCCTGGTGTGTCTCCTGGGGGCTAGGATCTGGGCTCCAGGCACTCCTACTTGTGGCATGTGTTCACTGGTGGAGACTCTGGCAGACCAGGTGAGGGAACTCCATCAGGGATCACGAGAAGGACATTGATGCCTACTGACAGACCCTGCACCTGGAGAAGAATGCCACAGAGATCAGGCAGAAGAGTGAGCTTCAGCACGATGCCCCCAATGATGGAGAGTGAAAATTGGTCACATCAGGCTTAAAGCCATGACATGCATCAGCTGCTCCACTGACAGCCTTACACAACAACTATGCAGCCCTGATGTTATCATTGGATGAGGCATCTGCACCCTCTGCATCGAGAACAAGGGGAACAGCCACCCCCACCGAAGCATAAAAATGGTGATTGTTGTGGGAGACTCCTTGCTGCAAGGAACAGAAGATGCCATCTGTCACCCAGACCCCCTTGCTCGAGAGTTCTGCTGCCATCCAGATGCCAGGATCCAAGATGTAATGGACAGGATTCCAAAGCTGGTCCACCCTAAGAACTACTATCTCATGCTCTATGTCCATGTAGGCACCAATGGCATGGCAAGAAACAACCCCAGGAGAACAATGAGTGACTACAAGACTACGGGGGTGAAGCTCAAGGAACTAGGAGCACGAGTGGTCTTCTCCTCAATCCTCCCAGTTACAGGCTGTGGCCATCAAAGGGAGGAATGCATTGAGGAAGTCAACCAAAAGCTTCAGAGATGGTGTCACTGAGTTGGTTTGGATTCTTCAACCTTGGTATGCAGTTCAACAGCACTGGTCTGCATGCAAGAGACAGTATCCACCTCACGGGCAGAGAGAAGAAGCTCTTTTCCACAAGAATCACAGACTTGCTGAGGAGGGCTTTAAACTAGACACGCCCAGGGTAGTGGGGGTAGATTCCACTACTGGGCATAAATCCTCTCGCCAAGATGGCCCAGAGGAGGGTATTCATGCAGATGATTATCATCCAGATGATTATCAACACCCCAAGACACTTGCAGAGGGACAGAAAACCTGGGATGACTAAGGATGAACTCAGCTGTCTTTATGGAAATGCCATAAGCATGGGCAATAAACAGGATGAACTGGTACTCCTTCTGGCAGACAAGGATTTTGACATCATTGGGTTGATGGAGACTTGATGGGATGATACATATGATTGGGCAGTGGATATTGAGGGCTACAGGCTCTACAGGAAGGACCGGGTTGGGAAGAAGGGTGCAGAGGGGTAGCCCTCTATGTGAAAGAGCTGTACCCCTCCCCTCAGGTCACATTTGATTACATGGGGAAGTCTCTTGAGACCCTCTGAGTCAAGATGCAAGGGGGCTCAGGAGAAGGGGACCTGATAGTGGGAGTCTACTATAGGCCTCCCTACCAAGAAGAGGAGCACAATAGGATATTCTGCAGAGAACTGGCCAAAGCAGCCAGCACTAAGGACTTGATTGTCATGGGTGACTTCAACTACCTTGACATTTGTTGGGAAGACCATTCAGCCAGCTCCAGCAGGTCAACAAACTTCTTGGCAATTTTAGACCATCTGTCACAGGCTGTGGAGGGGTCAACTAGGGGGAAAGCCCCTCTGAACTTGGTGCTGACCAAAAGAGAAGACATGGTAGGCAACCTGAAGATTGGAGGTACTCTGGGTAACAGTGACCATGATTTGATTAGATTCACCATCCACCAAAAGGCTGGGAATTCTATGAGCAGAACAGAAATCCTTGACTTCAGAAGGGCAAACTTTGGTAAACTCAGGAGTCTAGTTGGAAAGGCCCTTTGCAACCAGCGACTGGACAACTTGGGAGTTCAGGAATGGTGCCACTTCCTTAAGGAGGCAATTCCCATTGCTCAAAAAGAGGCCATCCCCATGCAGTCAAAAGGAGGGAAAGGGGCCAAGAGACCCACCTGGCTCAACAGGGACATCAGGGAACTTTTCAAAAGGAAAAAAGGAGTGTACATGCAATGGAAAAATGGTTCAGCATCCAGAGAAGAGTACACTAAGACAGCCAGGGCCTGCAGGTATGAGACAAGGCAAGTCAAGGCATGCATCGAGATCAAGCTGGAAACTGAAATAAAAAAAAAAAAAGTCCTTCTATAGGTACATAGGGAGCAAGAAAAAAATCAAGCTGCACTGTGGGTCCCCTACTGAATATGGAGGGGAAGCCCACAGCTGATCCCTGTGAAAAGGCAGAGCTCCTTAATTCTTACTTCGCATCAGTATTTTTTAAATCAGTCATGAACTCGTCACCTGTCCAGAGGCCCAGAGAATATGGAGATTACAGTAGTCCACATAAAATCAGCCCTGAACAGGTGAAGGTACTCTTAGAACATCTGGATATTTTTAAGTCAGCTGAGCCAGATGACCTGCACCCGAGAGTCCTGAAAGAACTGGCCGAACTCAGAGTGGTGCCTCTGGCAAGACTGTTTGAAGAGTCATGGAACTCTGGAGTGGTCCTGAATGAATGGAATTAAGGGTAATGTGGTGCCCATCTTTAAGAAAGGGAAGAGGGACAACCCTGCTAACTATAGACTGGTGAGTCTAACTTTGATCCTGGAAAAAATCTTTGAAAAAATCATCAAGGAGGCCATAAACTACAAGCTCGTAACTGGTGGGGTGCTGAGAATGAACCAACATGGCTTTGTTGAGGGGAGGTCATGCCTAACAAACCTGGTGTCCTTTTATGACCAGGTAACTAACCAGCTGGACATGGGACATGAGGTACACATCACCTACCTAGACTTCAGCAAGGTCTTTGATACTGTTTCCCATGAGATTCTCTCAATTAAATTTGGGTGTACTGGCCTAGACCTGGCTACGGTGAGGTGGGTTGCAACTGGCTCAGCAGCTGATCCCAGCAAGTGGTAATTGATGGGGTGGCCTCATCCTGGAGGGCTATCTCCAGTGATCGTCCCAGGGATCAGTGCTTGGGCCCATGCTCTTTAACATCTTTATCAATGACCTGGATGAGGGAGTGGAAAGCACAATGATTACACTTGCAGATGACACCAAGTGGTGGGGAAATGTGGGCACATCTGAGGACAGGGCAAATATCCAGGATGATCTTGACATGCTGGTTCTATGGGCTGAATGCAGTCAGATGAATCAGATCAACAGGGATAAGTGCCGGGTCCTTCATCTGGGTGGGAAGAACCTTCACAACTATACAATGGGTGGTGGTCCACTAGCTGGCACTGCATCTGAAAGGGACTTGGGGGTGACAATCGACCAACGCATGAATACGAGTCATCAGTGTGATGAAGTTGCCAACAGGACAAACAACTCTAGTGTGCATCAGCCAATGTGTAACCAATAGATCCAGGGAGGTGCTCCTCCCCCTCTATTCAGCATTGGAGAGGCCACAGCTGGAGTACTATGTCTAGTTCTGGTCACTGCACTTCAAGAAGGATGTGGATAAGCTTGAAAGAGTACAGAGAAGGGCCACCCACACGATCAGGGACCTGGGAGATAGGCCCTATGAAGAGACACTCTGGGAACTGGGCCTGTTCAGTCTGAGTAAGAAAAGACTGAGAGGTAACTTGATAGCCACCTACAAGCCTGTCAGGGGCAAACACCAAGATCTAGGGGAACAATTCTTCAGAAAGGCACCCCTTGGGAGGACAAGGTCCAAAGGGCACAAGCTAGTTGAGGAAAAATTTAGGATAGACATAAGGAAAAAATTCTTGTCCATAAGGGTAACTAGGATCTGGAACACACTCCCAGCAGAGGTGATGCAGTCGCCATCCCTGGAGGTTTTCAAGAGGAAGCTGGACAAGCACCTCATGGAGCTTGTTTGAACCCAATTACCTCCTGTCCATGGCAGGGGACTGGACTCAATGATCTTACAGGTCCCTTCCAGTCCTTCTATTCTATGCTTCTATGATTCAAAGAATAGAAAGGCATTTATTCCTGCTCTGTGTGGCTTCAGATACTAGCTTGAAATAGTGTCTTGTGTTCTTAGTTCTAACAACAGCAAGTAGCTCAGCTTGTGTGTTACAGCTGTGAATATCACAGATAATCTAGGTAAAACATCCTTCCTTCCCCCACCCTCATTAATCATCCCATCTAATTTACTATGTGTTCACTATGTTTAAATGTGTTTTCACCATTATGCATTACATTGAGTTTTAAAGTTACACGTAAAGTTCAATTAAGCTTAGAATCCAAGGGTATCTATACATGTGCTCTGGAGTTGGGGTGAGGGGGCAGCATTTTAATTAGAGTGGTTCCTGGACAGCTGTTCTAATTAAAACGCCATAGCGTCATGTATATTCTGTGTCCCACATTTCAAAATGGCAGCAGGGGGCACTTTAACTAATGCTCACTCAACGAGTTTTAGTTAAAGTGCCCCTGCCGGCATTATGAAATGTGGGACACTGAATACATATGACACTGCAGCACACTGGAGCATTCTAATTAGAATGCTCCAGCTCCGACACATTCTATATAAAATGTGTCAGAGCACATGTATAGGCACCACAAGTGTGTCAAATGCCCCATTTACTACTTACTTTGCTGAACAAGGTATATATTATGCCAAACACATAGAGAGACTTCTTAAACCCTTAAGTACACAAAAATGAAAACACTTCACAAGTAAGACTGGATTCTCAATTATTCAGTCTTGTTGAATCTATTAACATTCACATTCAATAACTTTCCCTGGAGCAGTGAACTAGAATATAATTAATGAGATGACCTCACTAGCTTACCACATGTTCATTGACATTACTGTAGTTGCATATAATCTGCTGATTTTGATAGTATTCTAATTGTCTTTCTGCCAAATCAACACGCTGCAAGAGATTCTCAATGAAGTGCTGGAGTCTGGCTTTTCCACGGAACTCTTTCTCAGCTGCTTCTTCTAGGAAGTGGTTAAAGGTAACAACTTCTCTGTTAAGACAAAAATATTGAAAGTACCATTTTTGTACTGGAATGCGGCTCAGGATGGCACTGGTAAGAAAAAGTAAAGAATACAGCACTTGAAATTCCCTTCCATGTCATTGTCCCAAAATATAACAATCATACCATGTAAACCCTTTAATCAACGTACCAAGTTCCATCTTAAAAATAAGCTAGGCTTCTATGCCCACTATTCCTAGTGGACAACTGTTCCAAAATCCCAGTCCCTGGTTCTAATTGCCACCCTTTTTGTGCCTACATTGTCCTTTTGCTTATCTTTTCTCTCCCAAATGTGTTTATCCCTTGGTGTATTTATAAGCTGCAGTCATATCACATCCCAGCCTTTGTTTTGCTTGGCTAAAGAAATGAAACATTTGTTAGCCTTCTTCTGTAAAATAGGTGCTTAATTCCTCTGATCATCCTAGGACCTCTTTCTGCACCTGTTTCAGTTAACAAAAACCTACACAATTGTAAATGATATATAGTATACATTATTCTCACCAAAGCCTTGTATAATGGCATTAATAACTCCTCCTTTCTATTGCCAATTCCTTTCTGGATATATCCTAGGAATGCACCTGCCTTTTATATGACTATCCTCTAATTGACTAATACACTCAGGTTTTCTAGTCTGCCACTGTCTACAAATGATGAACAGATTATAATAGAAACTCTTGTTACTACTCCCTCAGTGCCTGACCTTGCCCTTAGAGCTATTGAATTTCATTTCATTTTTAGTTTTCTAGTTCTCAAGGTCAACCAATTTTTCCTCCTTGATATTTGGATTCATCTCTGTATTGCTGATGACTGCCAACTTTGTGCCATCAACAAATTTCATGAGGACAACAATGCAAAGGAGGGATGGTGATTTGCTCTTCTATTTTGCTGTCATGTTTCTAGGGTTTTTTCCTGTAAATCACTGGAAAGGAAGAAAACTAAAAACTTGAAAAAAATCTATGGGATTACAAGAGGCTCTTTAAGAAATTCCTTTTGTTCAACTGTTAGCCAGGTTGGAGGTTAAACCACCCACAAGGGACAAAAAAGATGCCCTGTTATGCCACATACTTCAGTACTAGAAGATTCTTTGAGGGATGGCTTAGCCACCGTGCTTTTCAGGAGATTACTACAGCACAGACCTCTCCTTTCTCCATGTTCGTTCATGTCTTTATGGCAGAGTGCTCCCAAAGAATGTCCTCTCCTTTAGCTGCACTTTATGATTACAATGCGTAAATGATAAAGAGATTTAGGAAAATGTTGCCACTTAGGTGACTTCTTCTCCTAAAAGAACATTTACCACACCAGCTCCTGGCCAACAGCACTGAAAATGTTTATTGCATCAAAGGAAGATATCTGTATGCAGTATAAGTAACATGAAATAAATAAAAGAATGCCAAATCAAAAACCAGGATCTTTCATATAATTTAAGAAAAAACCATAATTTCCATCTGCGATAGCTGGAGAAATTTTGCAAAAGCATCTTTTAGTATGTTCCAAAATATCTGTTTCCTTAATGTTTTTCAGGTGAAAAAGTGGTGCCTTTTTCCTTATTTAAAGATACACCAGTTTGACACTCAACCTGGGGGTGTGAGCAGAAACAGAAAAAAATGTAAAGTTTGTCCTTGAAGCCTGCCAGTGTAATTTGATGGATTTGGTTTAATTAACTAAATTATCTGTTCCCAAATAGTTTTATTTTAGCCTGATTCTCTATATAGGCAATCATCAATTCTCTGGATCATTCTGTATGCATAAGTCATGTGCCTCATGAATCTGCTTGTGGTTGACAAATTCAAGTTGAGAGTGATACAGCTTGTTACAAGTTTCATAGATCCATATGTTGCCTGAGATGGAGTCCAGTTTACAGAATGCTGTCTTCTTCTTTCTTACTTTGCTTCTGTCCTCTGGATGAAAGCCACTTCATGTTTAGCTGCATCCAACGCCAGTTGTTCCCTCCAGATCAGATGGGATTCTGCATACTCCTCCCAGCTTTCTACATTTATGCTGAATGACTTCATATCATTTTTGCACACGTCATGATACCACCATAGAGGGCAGCCCTGCTTTCTGGAGCCATCTCAAAGCTCTCTGTACAAAATATTCTTGGGGATATGGTTTTCCTCCCACTCTCCTAACATAGCCAAGCCATTGCAACCTCTTCTTCTTAATAGTGACTTCTAAGTGTGTCAGTCGTGTGCTCCAGCAGTTACCTCTCAGCTTCATGTTCTTGGGGAACCCTGGCACAGAACACAGCCTGTCTGGCGCACAAAGAATTTCCTCCCCTCCACCCCCACCTGAACAACAACTGATTACGAAAGACGAGATGCAGTGGGAGACACACCTAAAGCCCTCCAAGTAAGGGAGCAACTCCCTAGGTCTCATTTGCATCCAAGATGGAACCAGATGACAATTCATTTACATGGGAGATGGAGAACAGAAAGCCCAATGCAAAGACCACAGTGAATTCCCGGATCAGAGAAGCAGGGGAGCACTGCATGATGGGGAATCTGTGCTCCAAATGCTAATCAACCCACATTTACACACACCCAGCTCAGCATTTATCAGATCAATTCTAATCTGGATTTGCAAAGGGCTTGTCATTCTCCACCCCCCCGAGATGGTCCGAGATGCCTATTAAACTTCACTTCTGCTTAGTTCTGCTTAGATGAGGTGGGGGGGAGGGGGGAAACGACAAGCCCTTTGCAAATCCAGATTAGAGTTGGTCTGATAAATGCTGAGCTGGGTGTGTGTAAATGTGGGTTGATTAGCATTTGGAGCACAGATTCC